CGTGTGCTCTTCCGTCCATGCACGATTTCGTTTCGTTAATCGTGCATGGATTATGAGCATTAATGTAGAAAAGTGATCACTTCAGAGTTTGTGAAAATTTCCGAGGGACAGAATCGATGACCGTGGGTTACATACGTATACATCGGAATTTAAGAGTGATTACCCATTCGGTTTTATCCTTGTTTAACATTCAGTGAATAACAAGGATAAAATGATATACCGTGAATTCCTGAACGCAGTCCAGAGAAAACAAATCGGTGAGCGCTTAGTGATTTTTTATTATGATTGGTTTCTGCACTTAGATCCAGTGAAGATCTAAAGGCAAGAACCAATCATATGAAAGAATCACTGAGCGCTCACTGATCTTTTCTCTGCTGAATGCAGCCATTGCCATGCGTTGCCACTATTGCCACTATTGTCAGTCTATCTCTATATTTATGTCTATGGTCGAGAATTGAGATTGATGTTTTGTAATTTAACCTATACCAAAGTGTACCAGCTCAGAGGAAGGTTTCTCTTTGTCTGTATACATTATTGCTTATACATTTTATCGTAAACAAATAATTAAATAAAAGCGGCAATTTTTAATATTAACAAATATGCCTCGATTACCTTTACATCCTTCATCTGGAACAGGTATTATTTCACCATTCGGCAAGGCGATACGACTTGTTCGTTATGGTTGTACTAATAGACCGTTCTATCATATCGTTGTAATTGATGTAAGTTGGCTCAATTTTCTTTTAAGAATTTCTATAGTTACAAGTTTATTTTTAATTATACTTTTTAAATAATCTTTACAATTATGAAAAAACGCTTTTAATTTTGATGAGTAAGATATAAGCATATGAAATAGTTTCATTTAGAAAGAATCATTTAGAAAAAAACATTCTTTAAGTTCTTTAATAAACATTTTTTTCTAAAAATTAATAAATTAAGTATTTCTTGTTTTAGACGAAAAAGAAACAAAAAGGATCACCGATAGAACAAGTTGGTGTCTATGATCCTATGCTAAATGTGCACAATGAAAAGTTGGTATCTTTCAATTTTGAGAGAATACAACATTGGATCACCAAAGGAGCACAAATTTCTACACCCGTTGCAGATTTATTAGGACTAGCTGGATTTTTACCTGTTCATCCAAGATCATATATGAGAGCATGGAGAAATCGCAAAAGTGTAGAAGAAAGTGTTGCTAAAGAAAGTACATGTCAAAAATAAGCAGTTGTATCGGATAGGTAAGACACAATTGTTATGTAACAAACATTTATTTTGTACAAATGTCATATTTATTAATAAAATTTTCATTAAATGTTTATTTAGAAAATACATGTCATATTGCAGTTAGTGTTCTAATCTTAGCTTTTGAAAATCAAAATTATAGATTCGGACTCTTAATACAGAATTTGTTACATCTTTTTTCCAAATAAATATCTTCAGTTCTGTATTTGGCTTCAAGAACGATATGTCCATTATTTTAAATATTTGTATATTTAAAAAAGTTTATAATAATTTTTATTGTACATATTAAATTTGAATATAAATTTTTATTAAATTATTGTTATTACTAATTATATGGCGCATATTAATAATTATTTATATAATACAAATGATATATAAATTAGAATAAAAAAAAAACATTCCCCAGGTGAGGCTCGAACTCACAACCCCGGCATTGCTCACTGAATCACTGTTTATAAGTACCGTGCGCTAACCGATTGCGCCACTGGGGATTTTGATTTTTGTTTTTCTTATTATAATAGTTACAGTAGTGCATGTATGCATATCTACATGTGCGTTTGTATGTATATACAAAAAAATTAATTTTGAAGTCATTTCGGACGCATACACTTAATTTAACTTATATTGTATAAAAATTTATTGTCATAGAAAAATATCACTCCTATGTGCAGAATTGTATCTAGAATCAAGAATAGTACTTAAATATTTGGTATATTTAGCCATATTAATAGAAACTGATAGCTTATATTGTAAATAAAAGTGAACTCTAATAAGGATTTTATATATAAATATAAAACAAGTCATATTGTAACAATTATAAAAAATGTGACAAACAGCCTGACAAACGAAACTTATTGATATGCGATAGATGAGAACAGTTGTTTCAAATTTTCGAAATTGATTTTCTCGAAAACAAAATCTCATACATTGTGACATTTGCATTAATAATTATACTTTATATTCTTTTTTATCGTTTTCTTAATTTTCTTCTTTTTTAACAGTTTTAGAATTTTCTTCTTAAAAATCAATACTCCGTAATTCAGAATTTAGTAAATTTTCAGGAATGTTGATAATATACGATTGTTTTCTCTTACACACACATACACACGCATGCGAGTCACATAAAAGATGCAACACTTTTTATTTTGTGATACATATGTATCACAAAA